AAAATGATGTGTACTCCAAGACTTTAAGCACAAACAAATTAATAAAACACCCTCCAATCATACCTTGCTTTTATCAATCTCACTAGCTTTTCGCTTCATAACATCCTTAGTTTCATTAATCTTGCTCTGCATAACCAGCTTGTGTAATTTCTCTTCATGACTCTCCATTTCACAGTATTGCTTAACTTGTGCCACAGTCACATTTTCCTTGTGTCCAAGAGACATGACTTCATCAAATGCAAAAATCAGCTCAAATGCATGTCTGCAAATACCCTCTTCATCAAGGGAGTAGGAATATTCAGGCACCTAAAAATATTAAGGAATGAACTAACTATAAACATGGCATTTTGGCCAAAAGATTCATTAAATGGCTCTAAAACTGACCAATAAAAGGTAAAATAACATCCCACTAGAAACCATTTGATCAATCCTAAAACCTCCTGAACCTTCCTATAAAAATCAATATACTAAATGCCATGTTTAAGGTAAGAAGAGAGACTTATGCACTGAATGATTGTACCATTAAAAATCTGACAAAACAAAAATGACAGAAAATGAGTAGATAAGGCACAGAATACATTCTAGATTCAGACCAGCAAGCCATACCATGTTAAAGACAAAACCAATAGTCCCATAACTAGACAAGAGAAAACCAAGCATTTGAAAACAAACGGACTTAAGAAAATAAGGTGACAAACTTAAAGCATCAGAAAAAGGATACAAGTTTAGAGAGAAGTCTCAGAGTTTCCAAATCTTCAAGTATGTTGCTCTGTTTGTTTGTTACAAGAAGCAGGTACAGCGCTTCTATTGGCTGGTAAACATAGCGCACATTCTCTGTCTCAATATATGTGTGTTGTTTTCCAGTGCCAATCAACTTGGGAAATGCAGCTAGAAGACCCTCAATTCTTATACGAGACATATCCACAAACTGTCTAGAAACTAGCACTGCAAACAAAGCAAAAGGTTTATTGGCATAAGAGCATTGATGTTGAATTTATAATTACGGACACAATGACAAATCCAATATCGAATCAGGACTTAGCTGTGCTTTACAAACTATAAATTAATCATGAATTTTTTAAAAAAATGAAGCAATGACCATTTACTAAGATGTAATATTAACAATCACAAACAACTGAAAGATTGAATTATCAAAGTGGGACAATGATTTCATAACTCTATGGTATATGTTGCTGACAGAAAGTGATGGGCATATAGATTATACAGATAAAGGAAATCATATAGCAAGAGATACAGATCAAGTTTCCGGATTAATGCTTATCACATATATTAGTTATCTTATCATCAGTAACCAAGTTTTCAACCAAAGCAAAGGAAATAACTTTGATGACAAACTCTCCACATGTCAAATTAATTTATATACTGCTGTAAAGGAAATGCCACTCCTGCAATTTATTTCTTATATTTCCCAAAACCCAGTAGCTTGTTTTTCATATTACCGAAAAAGGATGAGTCATCTATCATTTCAACTTAATATCAAACAAAGATAGATCTTTGACTTGTTTTTATATTAAAGGACAAGTTACAGGTGACGGAATTTCAGAATTCAAATAATATAAAGAAAGATGAATACGTGTCTACAATAAAGTTAGTTGTAAGTAAAAATAGAAGTTGCACCTTGAATGCAATATATCCAATATGTTTCTCTTTCCTTTAGTGAAACTGGCATTTACTAAGGTAAAATAAAATGGCTAAAGAAATGGGAAGCAAGCCAGAGACACACTATCAGTGTAAATAATTCCAAAAACAAGGATGAAAGGACCAAGGGCCGCAGAGAACCCACCTTTACCAGATTTGCCCACAATGGATGCAGCAAGAACAACCTGTACAATAAATACAACAAAAATTTGAACAAACATTTAATGGAGCAAAGAGGAAGTCAGGAACAGTTAGAAAGAAAGAAAATATAACATTTCCATTCCAAGGTAAATTCTTCTTTTAATTTTCCTAAGCCATGATATTTTAGTTTTTTCAGTTTAGAAGAGGTAATCAGCTGATGGCCTTTGTAAAAACCATGCCTTACCCTCACCACTTGACCAACCCCTAACTGGCAAGCAAATTGCTCGCTCAATCAAGTTCAGCAAAAGTTTGGATGAAAAGAAAAACAATACATGGTAGCACAAGCTGCACCAGAAGATCAAAAATTACCAGTACTTGGAAGAAAACTCAAGCTAAAAACCTTAGCAAAGGATTTCAATTTTAAAGCACGTAAAGATATATTAGGATGTTCCTTCCGGCGTTATTTCCAGATCACGGATTAAAACTGTATACATATAACACAATTGGAGTAGCAACAGGACCAAATAAGAAGTGAAAAAGCAATAATTAAAATAATGAAATTAAAGGAAAGAAAATCAACTAACCAGTGTTAAAAATGATTAAACCAAAACATGAGCAAGTCCTCAAATATTAAACTAAGAGATTGTAATTTCTTAAGAGACAAGAATAATTACCATCGTTGCGTTGAATCTTTGAAATGCGGGAAATGCTTCTTGCCTTGAATTTGAATCTGCCAAACAAAAAAATCCATAATGTTGTTAGGAGCCATCAGATCCCGATGTCAGATATGCAATGCGCCGTAATTGAATAGCTAAGTCGCAGAGAGAAGAAGAAAAATCGAAGGCAGAAATTGAGAAACGATTGCAGAAAGAGCTTACCAAATTACGATCTGAGATTTGGGAGTGCAGATCTGATCCCAGCGGAGTGAAAACAAAACTAACTGAAATGTGCAATGAAAGCAAAACGAAAGAGAATGCACCCTGAAAAAATACACGTATAAAAAAAGGGTTCGATCTTTGTCGTTTTAAATTACATACGATTGTCTGAGATAAAGAGATACACATAAATTACATACGATTGTGTGAGATAAAGAGATAGTGAGATAGATACACAATGAAGATTACATTGGAAAAAAATGAGTGATTTGTTTAATTTAAATTTAAAAAAATTAAATTTTGTTATCAAAAAAAAAAAAAAAAAATTTAAATTTAATTAAAATAATTATTTTTAAAAGGATAAATATTTCTGGGTTTGCTTTTTCGTAGTCTACTACGAAAATTTATATACATTGACCTCAACACTATGTTATTTTGAGGCGAAAATCAAGGTATTTTTGTAAGGGATAAGTTATTCTATCTTCTATTTTTTCTGCCAACCTTTATTTACTACCCTCCAATATCGATAGATCAGAATCTCAAGAAGAGAGAAAGATAAATATTAATTAAAATTCTGATCTGATAGTGTTTTAGATTGGTAGGCAAAGGTAAGCAGAAAAAATAATACGTAGAATAACCTATCATTTTCATAATTATAATTTATTTCAGGGTTATAATAGTCTTTTTCATTATAATGTTTTAATTTTAACCCAAAACGACGTCGTTTTGAGAGCGAATATAGATAATTTATCCATATTTATTGCAGAAATATTAAAGCCAATATTTTTCTTATAAAATATTTTTTTATATTTTTATTATTTTGTTTATTTTTGCTAAAAATAAGATTAAGTAAAAGTATTTAAAAGGATTTTATTGGACAAAAAATTTAAAAATATAAAAAAATATTTTAAAGGATTTTAATGTACTGTTTTTTAATATAAAAAAAACCGTTGAAATTCAAATAGGATTTTAGAAGATTATTTTATAATCCGTTCGAATTTGATGGTATTCAATCATGATTTTAAATAAAGAAAAAATAATCTCATGGTATTCAAAAAATATGACGATTTTAGTGGATTTTCAATTGGTGTGGAACTGTGAATTTTGTGAGACTTTTTAGTGAGAAATATAAACAGGCTGTCTCTCTCACAATTTCTCTCTAAAATATTTCTTCTTCCTTTGGTGGGTCGACTCACTCAAAATTAGGTTCTGCCACAGGAGCTTCGTACATAACAGATTTTTGAGCGATTTTCATCACAAAACAGAAACAACAACCAAACAAGATTCTAATATAATCCATTTAAAAAATAGAGTGATTTTTTAGAGTTAAAAAATGATTTTTCAAGTTATGGGTCGCGATTTTTCTTGGTACAAAAAAGTATGATTTTTGTATTAAAAACAAAATAAAACAATAGGGGAATAAAAACCCCAAACCAATTTTCATTTTAAATTAATGAAACGAGATCGATTTGAAGAATGGTTGAAACTTTCATAATATGAACACTATGTTTCGTAACAATATATTCATAAAAAAAATCGCTTTAAAAAATAATTTCAAACAATTTTTGTGTTAATAGATCACTAAAATCTTATTTTTCAAAAGCCCCAAAACAATTTAAGGTTTCAATGTATCGATTGAAAATTATTTGAGAAATTTTCTAAACTTTCATGTAATAAAACCTACAAATTCAGATTCAAAATTTTCTTAGAATACTCAATGAAAACTTGCATATATAATATATAATTAGAAAACTCTTATCACGTAGAATAAAAATGCCAAGATTTTCAAGATCAATAGCAAAAAATTTCAAACAATCATGAACTTTAACTTTTTTATGCAAATTTGGAATTATTGTTAATAAATAAAAAATTGTGAGTCTTATAATCATATATGCATAATGAATTATCTATGTATCCCTGTTAATAAAAAATGTAAAAAATAAATGAAAGATCTCATTATCCACATTTTATTTTATTCTCTAATACTATAGATGTCAATAAATATTTTAGTTGATTCATCAACCATTCATTAACTAAAACTGATCCATTCCTTCAAATTCATTAAATCTATTAATAGCTGGATTAATAGATTGTATTTAGATGACTGAGCAAATGACGTATTAATGAATCCAATTGCCACCATATTCTAATCATTTAGCAAATGGCCCATTTTATTTTATTTTAATTATTAAAATGTTTAAACATTCATACATGTAAATACCCCATCTATCCATTTATACATTATTTGTACAAAATTTCTTTTTCACAAACATATTTGCCTCGGTGGTGAAGGAAAGGAAGAGAACATCGGGATAGTATCGTATTTTAACTGCAAGCATTCAATAATCAATATCCATAGTCGGTGGAGCTACAATCCAATTTACAGTGCCGTTTTCAGTTTGTTTAACCATCATCAATACCAATTCTCTTCCAAATAACATCTAATCTCCAATTAAAAGATACATCCTACAGAGTAAATAGATACACTAAGTTTGCATTACGTAAATCATACTCTCTTTTTTTAGTACAAATGTAAATCATACTTTGTGCCATGCTTGCGAAGTAAAACTGAAGTACGAATTCTTGAATACTAACAGATGATGCAACATGGCGAAGAAAACCCTTTGTTAAAAGAACCACGACTGTAAATGCAAAACTGTCACAGAAGCTCAGAGTCGACTGGAAAATCAATCACACAACTTGGTAGTTTTCTGTGATCAACTGTGTTCTCTGACAAAATTTGGGAGGATTACCACCCTTCAGCGGTATGATGTTGGTAACCTGCAAAAACAATTAAAAAAAAAAAAAAAGGGTTAAGATTCCATTAAATCATATTCAAACAGGGTATGTCAAATATAATCCATCGTTGTAGATGATGGTAAACGAATTGAATGAAATGATACTCTATATTCATACATGATATAAGATTTCCCAGCCAAAATAAATCTTCAGGTCAATAAATGTGTTAAGTTTTGACTATATCATACTGACACATCACTGAAATAGCACTATACATCCACGGCCACAATGAAAGTCATTGAAAAAAATAGAAAATCCAAACAAACCTTCAGGTCACTAAATGTCTCAGTTGCCGTAAAACGAACGGAAATGGGAAAGAATGCTGATGATTCGACATTTGGAACAACAAACTCCATTGACCCGCTGCCAAATATATTAAAGTCAGACAAAAACAAGTCCAAGAATACAAAAGACAATATGTTAGCTTCTTGGAAAATATGACTCCGAATTTAACATACCTGCGGTTTGAATTATCAATCAGAAGGACAGACCACTCCAAAACTGAATTCCTAGAGTCATACCTGCAAAGCCAATTTTATTAGGGGATGGACAACCAAGAAACCAAGAATCTAACATGAAATATATTGATTTAGAACCATAAATAAAATCAGTTACGAGAATCATCAACTGATGATCTAAGAAAGGGGGGAGGGGGAAGCAGCATTAGCATCATAGAGCTTTCTCAACATCAACAACGCTTTTATTCCAAACTAATTGGGGAATCATAAGAGTTCATCTCATAACTCATAAGAATAGCCTCTCTCTTTTTTACAGGCGGCTCGCAACGCATGACACCAACTCTCCTCCTTTACCCCAACTTGGGACAGGCTATGTAAACATATGTGGAGTTTCATACAGCATTCTAATCCATGTAAATCTAGTCAGTACTTCAAAGATTGTAATCAATTAACATGTCTAACAGAGACAGATTATGATACAAAACCACCAGCTCATTCCCCGCAGACTTCAATGCAAAACACAAAAATCATGGTTGTCCCTAACATTTATTCTGAGGAAGAAAAAATAACGAAATCCACACCTCCATTCCCCATCAATCTGACTAACAGATGGTGCTTCTCGAAGAGCTGGAAGAGGTACTGAGATCACAACATTCTGCAGATCAAACATTGATGAAGCCTCATATTCAATACTGACATAAGTTTCATTTCCAGAAGAAGAAGGCCAGCAGTTGACTGCAATAGACATATATAGCACACTATTAATACATGAACACGAAATAGTAGACCACATCAATGGTAGATATTATCTTACCTGTCAGCGGGACCATTGACTCATCAGTGCTTTGCATTCTCCACTTTAAAAGGCCAACACCTGCAGCGTCACTGGCTTGACCAGTGGGGAAAGGCCTATTGGGATCCTTTAGGCCTAGTATGTTTTCATTGGCAAATAATTCTTTATTCATGTTAGGGTGTGTCTTGAAAGATATGGCTTGATTCTCACCAGTCTGGACCTGTAAAAACAAGGAACAAATATGCAAGTACCAAGACTTTTAAATGTCTTCCGGATTGATATTTGCATTCAAATTTGCAAGGTGCAGACATCTCTAGGAGCAACTTAGTTAATGCATAAAACATTTTAAAAACTGCAGGAAGAAACAAAACAAATAAAACTGAGCAAACGGAAAAATCAATCATTCAAATATTGAAAATTGTATTTCAAATATACAAATATGTTTTTGTAAAAAAATGTTTGATATGAACTTCTTTCCCCTAATGATGATGAGATTTAATGAAACAAGTACGCTTTTCATGTCAATAAATAATTAATTATTCAAAAACGATTACTCAGGTTACACAAACCAGCAGCACAGTGGACGCACATTGAGTTAGAGAGCAGTAATGACAATATGATACCTGAACTTGAAGATGTCCATCCTCTTGGTTAAGAATCTGGAGAGACAATGTGCCTTGAACATCAAAATTACTGACTCCACCATCTCGTTTCAGTATCACATTTATCTTCTCCTCAACAGTTAAAGTGACGGGATCAGTAAGTGGTGGGGCAGCTGGCCGAGACTGGCCAAGCTTTGGCTGAACATCTTCAATAATGACTTCACCTTCTGCTTTCAGTGATTCTAAAAACTGATTAGCCCTTTGAGATTTACCCAGCTTCATGCCAAGACCTTTTGGTGGAGCAGTGGCAGATGAAGTTGGACGACCTAAGGAAGAGAATATAGGGAGTACTTAAATTAAAAGACTACTCTCTGTTTAGCAACATGTAAATTTGGACATAGAATAAACCACAGCTGGTACACGGGGTGCTTCAAAGTCATTCAAAGTCATTACATTTAGAAGCATTCTAGAAGAACTCATGAAAAATCTATGAAAGCTAACCTTTAGACTTGGTAGAAAAGGAATCAACATCAGAACTCAATCCAAAACCAGAGCCACTTCCAAAACCAGTTCCGCTACTAGATATGCTCAATTCACTAAAGCTATTTTCAATTCTTCCAGAGCCCATTGACTGTAAAGGACCAAAACCTCCTCTATCACCTCTGTTCTTTTCAATCTGCGGAATACATGCATAGATTTTGAATTACTGATGTCTACTCCAAGACTTTAAGTACAAACAAATTAATAAAATACAGTCCCTCCAATCATACCTTGCTTTTATCAATCTCACTTGCTTTCCGCTTCATAACATCCTTAGTTTCATTAATCTTGCTCTGCATAACCAGCTTGTGCAACTTCTCTTCATGACTCTCCATTTCACAGTATTGCTTAACTTGTGCGACAGTCACATTTTCCTTGTGTCCAAGAGAAATGACTTCATCAAAAGCAAAAATCATCTCAAATGCATGTCTGCAAATACCCTCTTCATCAAGGGAGTAGGAATATTCAGGCACCTAAAAATGTTAAGGAATGAACTAACTATAAACATGATATTTTGGCCAAAAGTTTCCTTAAATGGCTCAAACTGATCAATAAAAGGTAAAATAACCTCCCACTACAGACCATTTGATCAATCCTAAAGCTTCATGATAAAAATCAATATTCTAAATGCTATGTTTAAAGTAAGAACAGAAATTCATGCACTGAATGATTGTACCATTAAAACTCCAAGAGAAAACCAAAATGACAGAAAATGAGTAGACAAGGCACAGAACACATTCTAGATTCAGACCAGCAAGCCATTCCAAGTTAAAGACAAAACAAATAATGCCCCTAATCAGACAAGATAAAACCAAGCCGTTGAAAACAAATGAACTTAAGAACATAAGACACTGATAAAACTGGATCAGAATTAAAGGAAGAAAAGAACTCAAAAGACTTTTTGGCCCAGAAAGGTTCTGGATTTTCAGTATTACTGTTGAAGGGAAAATGACAAGTACAACTCAGATAGACAAAAAGACAAATTGCAGAAATGAAAATACATGGACACTTCTAATTACAGAAGAAATGACTTTGAAAGATGAAACTAATGCCCAGTACGTTTCAGAGGTACAGATCTGTCCCAAGCCAGGATTTACAAATTTCTGCTTATCCTCTCCCTCCCATTTCTTTCCCTATTTAAACTTACTCGACTAACTTTCTCACCCACCTCAGCAGTGCTCACCCTCTCTCCTCTAACCAAATTGACCTCCAATATTTCATCTGGAATATTCCTTCTCATGGCTGAGTCATCACTATTAATTAACCCCCTGTAACGTCTCCTATAGTACACTTTTAAAGGTGACGTATCAGACACCAAACTTAAAACATCAAAAAAGGATACAAGTTTAGAGAGAAGTCTGAGAGTTTCCAAATCTTCCAGTATGTTGCTCTGTTTGTTTGTTACAAGAAGCAGGTACAGTGCTTCTATTGGCTGGTAAACATAGCGCACGTTCTCAGTCTCGACATATGTGTGTTGTTTTCCAGTGCCTATCAATTTGGGGAATGCTGCTAGAAGGCCCTCAATTCTTATACGTGACATATCCACAAACTGTCTAGAAACTAGAACTGCAAACAAAGAAAAAGGTTTGTCAGCACATGAGCATCGATGCTGAATCCATAATTATTTAGGCACCACCAAATCCAACATCAATTCAAGACTTAGCTTTGGTTTGCAAACTAAAAATTATTCCTTATTTTTTAATAAAAAAAATATGAAGTAATGGCTAAATAGTAAGATGTAATTTTAACAATCATACACAACGAAAAGATTGAATTATCAAAGTAGGAAATAGATTTCAAAACTCTATGACCTATGTTTCTGACAGAAAGTGATAGCAGGTAGATTATACAGATAAAAGAAACAGGTCATGTTTTGCAGTTTAGGCTTATGACATATGTTATTATTTAGTTATGTCAACATCAGACACCAAGTTTTGATCAAATCAAAAGGATTAATTTTAATGCCGTACTCCCCGCACGTGAAACCAATGTACATACTGCAGGAAAGCAATTATCCCTCATGGAATTGATTTCTTATATTTCCCAAGTCGATTGTGTTTCATATTACTGAAAATGGAGAAGTCAACTATTGTTTCAACTAAATAGCAAAGGCAGATATGTCTTTCACTTCTTTTTTTAATCGTGAAGGATAAGTTACAGGTTATGGAAATTCAAAATTCAAATAATATAAAGAAAGATCAGCACATGTCTAGACTCTAGTTAGTTATAATTATTTTATTTTAAGAAAAAAAGCACCTTGCATGCAATATATCTAATGTGTTTCTCTCCCTTTAGTGAAATTGCCATTTAATGAGGTAGAAGATAATGATTAAAAATGGCAGGCACACCAGACACATACTATCAGTGTAAATTATCCCATAAACAAGGATGAAAAGAGTGGGGGGTAGGGAGAGGGTCACAGAGAACTCACCTTTTCCAGATTTGCTCACAATAGATGCAGCAAGGACAACCTGTTTGACAAATAAAACAAAATTTAGAAGAAAAAAATTAATGGAGCAGAGGGGAAGTCAAATAGATAGAAAGAAAAAGAATATATCATTCACACTCCCAAGTGAATTCTTCTATTTCCTAGCACAAAAGCTATTAAGCTTCTTTTTTTTTTATCAGTTACAAAAGGAATGAGCCTATGACCCCTGTCCAAACCCCACCTCACCCTTACCATTTGAGCTACAGCCAACTGCCATTTGTGTTAAGAAAATTGCTCAGACAATCAAGTCCGGCACTAATTTTGGATGAGATTAAACATTCAACTGTTACGTAGCTAAAATCAAGGTGAACAGGGAAAAAAATGACACATGATATGATATGAGCTACACCAGAAGATCCAAAATTACCATTAATCTTGAAGAAAAAATAAAGTTACAACCCCACCCCCCCCCCCCCCCCCTCTCTCTTCTTTTTAAAGCAGATCAAGATACATTAGAAAGTACCTTCGGGCTTTAATTCTAGATCACGGGTTAAAACTAGATACATATAACAAAATTTTAGTAGCTACAGGCCTAAATATTTGTAGGAGCAGGTGTGTGCCGTCAACGAGAATACAACAAAAGAAGTAAAAAAGCAATAATTAAAAAACAGAAATTAAAGAAAAAAAAAATCAAATAATCAGAGTTAAATAGTAAAGCAAAACATAAGCAAGTCCTCAAATATTGAATTAGTAGAATGTAACTTGTAAGGAGACAATAAGAATTACCATCTTTTAACACTTAATATTTGAACGGAGGAAAGTGATTCTTGTGTCGAATCGAATCTGAGAAAAAAAACAAAGTTGATGATGGTGTTAGAAGCCATCAGATCCGGAGGTAAGGTATGCAATGGGTTGTAGTTGTAGTTGAATGGCGAGAGAAAGAGGAAAAATCAAAGGTAGATGAAAATGAGAAACGGAGTGGAAAAAGAGCTTACCAAAACACGATCCGAGAGCGAAGAGCGCAGATCTGATGAGTGAAAACACAACTGAGAGACTAGCGGGTTACTAAGGAGAAGGATCAAATGAAATCACAATACGGTGCGTTAACCTGAAAATTACAACCATTTAAAAAAAAAAAAAAAATGAGTGGATTCGTGCCCTCGTGGTTAAGAGTATGGGTTAAATAGGGGAGACAGAGATAGATTTTGGCTCAAATAAGTTAGGCATCGGTAAAGAGTCTGGCTTATTAATCTCTATAGATCTAAAATTACAAGTATGTATAGATCTAAAATTACAAGTTTATTTTGATTTATATTTAAAAAATAAAAGTTTTGGTCTAGGTTTATTAATCTGTTTAAGTCTATTAAATATTCAACAATTAAAAGAAGATTTATTTTTTCGGCAATAAATGCATATAAATTATCTGCATTGAGTCGAAAACAACGTTATTTTGGAACGAAAATCAAGATATTTTTGTAATTTTAATTTATTTTAAAGTTATAGTAGTCTTTATAATTATAATTCTTTAATATAGACAGAGATAGATTTTGGCTAAAATAATCAGGCTCTATGTAAAAAACATTGAATGTGGTATGGCCTATTAGTCTGTACAGACCCAAAATTACAAGTCTGTTCTTGTCTATATTTAAAAAATAAAAGTTTTGGTCTAGGCATGTTACCCTGTTTAAGCCTATTAAACATTCAACAATTAAAAGAAGGTTTATTTTTTTGCAATAAATGCATATAAGTTATCTACATTGAGTCCAAAACATCGTTATTTTGGAACGAAAGTCAAGATATTTTTGTAATTTTAATTTATTTTAAGGTTATAATAGTATTTATAATTATAATTCTTTAATATTTCAACACCAAAACAAAGTCGTTTTGAGAGTAAATTCAGATAACTTATCTGCAGTAACTGCAGAAACATTTTTTTGTTAAAAGAATAACTAAAATAATATTATTTCATTATTCAAAGTTAATAAAATAATAATTTTATTTATTATATTTTAAATAAATAAATGATATAGGTCGACCTGTAACTTATAGATCCGGCATGTACAAAAAAGTCTTTGGCCTATTTTCCAAATAGATTTTTTTAAAAACCTACGCCTATTCTATTTTACTATTTATAATAGATTAGGTCGTAGGTCACTATAAACCGGCATAGCCCATTTACACCCATAATTAAGAGTTAGCGTTATATTATAATTCCAAAAATTAGTGTTATTATTTTATACAAAAATATTTCAGCTTTATTATATTTTGTATGATTAATTAATTTAGTCCTTTATTTTTACCAAAAATAAATTACTTTTCCTTATGTTTTACAATCATTTTTAAAAAAATTTATAGTTCACAATAACTTCATGAAATCTCACGTTAATTGAAAAGAGAAAAACATGAAATATTTTATCCTTGACCACCTGTTTACTCAGTATATTTCGGAACAATTGCGAGGCATTTAGTACTTTGCTTGGTGTAATGACTTCCACTAAGAAAGAGAGCGACCCTTGTTACACATGTAAAATTAGAAATTTTCATCATCGGATCCAAATCAATTTAAATGGCACTGATCAAATTGAAAAATCGATAACTGAATTAATCAAAAATCAAAAAATTAAAAATAATTTTAATTGAATTGGTCGATTTTCGATTTGGTTAGTAAAAATCGAACTAATCCAATATATTAATTTTCCTCTATTTACTTAGGTTTTTCTCCAATTATATCTCAAAAAATTCCAAACATAAGACTCAATAACCCATAAGCTAAATCCTAGAAAAAAAACTCAACCACACCTCATAAGCAAAATTTTAACTGTGTAGAGCTTCATAAGTCATTGTCAAAAAAAAATTAGATTATCATTTATTGATTTCTGTATTTCAAAAAAAAAAAATACAAAGTCAATATATACAAAAGATATGTTATTTGCATAATAATCATCAAATAAATTTTAGATTTTTCAAAAAATCAAAAATCGTGATAATCCAAACTAAAAAAAATTGTATTTTATCGAATTTGAAAAAAATTCAAACCGAATGAATAATTACATAATAAAATTGAAGAGATTGAATCAAAATAATTTTTATTTATAAAATCGATCAAATACAGACTGCAAACACTGAAAGAGAGAGAGGAGTGGGGGAAGAGACTTGTTGATTTTGTTTATTATTATTATTTACATGCAATATCCCACTCCTGTGCAGGCCAACTTTCTTAATGTACCATTTTCAATCACAACGTTGATCGTATGTAATTATGAAAATAATTACAAAATATATGGTTTCACATCTTATCATTTAGACTTATTTAACCATATTATTTACAGAGGAAGGATCCGTTTATAAATTTTTTTACAAATTTTTGTAAATTATACCATGTACTTTCGGGAGAACATAGTGTAATCTAGTGTTCTACGGAAGAATATAGTGTAGATTGTAAGAGTTTGTAAACAAAAAAATTGTGACCCCTTATTTATAATATTTTACCAAATTCGAAACAATGTTTTAGGGTTGAGATTCATGTATTTTAAAAGACATAGTGATAGCTTGTACCATCCTCTATAATTTAAAAAATATTATTTCTAAAAACGTATTCTAATAATAGTAATGATATTAAAAGTATTAATAATAATAAAAGGAAAAAAACATATAATTGCTACCATCTATACACAGATGCGCTTTTTTTTAACCATTTTAATATATATAAACAAACTGCAACTTCTATTTGCTTTGTATTTATATATTGTAAAATAAAATAAAATAAAAAAGTAATTAATATTAATAAAATATTTTTATTAATGTTAATTTCTTTTATTTATTTATTTTTATATTATTATGCTAGCACAATTACGTCGTTATTGTCTTTCTTTCTTTTTTGACTCCCTAAACTATTTGACAATTTTCATGATTATTCAGCTACGAAATTGTTTTTTTTTTAAGGAAGATGAACAAGGCTAAAAAGAATAGTAAAACTAAAAACGTAACAGATTATTTGCGGGATGCATGTGAGAGAAATTAATTACTTAGAACTAAAATCCTTTATTTTATAAACATAGACGTGGATTCGTACAGAACCTTATACAATCTACATATTTTTTTTTTTTAAGTTTACTTCCTAACCTACATCACTATTTTACAATAGTCCTACATCCTACGTCAGATTACATTACTTTACTATATATATTTAACATCATCCAGTCACACACTAGTACATGATCTCGTTTAGTCCAAAGTATACACATAAGTCTCCACCCTATCAGGATAAAATACAGATATGGCTCCCTGATTTCCGATCACAATATAGTATTTCCAACGGTCATTATAAAAAATAAACAGTAATATTCCATCCTTTTTCGTAAAAAGACAAGTTAGGCATCTGGAAAGATTAGCAAAACAAATAAAACGTGAGCAAATTCTCGGTAATATTGAGGTTTTATAACTATAATCATTCCAGCCGTATTAACGGAAAATATATCATGCTCTCAAGTAATTTCATAAAAATGAAATTAATTCAAGAATAAAGATAAATAATAAATTGTGTAATATTTAACTGAAGCTAATTAAATGCCCAATTTTGTGGGTCTTTGCATGTGAAAAGTTCTATATGGCGAAGTTTAAGCCATGATAAGGCGTCTCTTATCTTAGTTATCTGATCCCAATCTTTTGTGGGCCAGTTCACAGTAGTAACATACAGTTAAAATTTACACATTCACTTAATATTTTTTTGTTACCAAATAATTCGTCAATCAATAATCAACTTAAAAAAAATAAGATTTTAGAATTAAATAATAAAGCTAAATGTAGGAAAATAATTTTAAGAAAAAAAAACTGGCGAAGTAACAGTACCATAAAAAATCTTTAAAAGTGAAAAGAAGAGCAATAGAGAAAGCTTTTATCTCTCAATATTACATTTCTTTTATTTCCTATACTTCTTCTCTCACCTCTTCTGGTATGATTCTCTCCTCTCTCTTTTTTTTTTTTTCTTTTCCTTTCCTTCAGCTTTTCTTTTCTCTTCTCTGTTCAAATTACCCCTTATGTTTTTTCTTCTTCTTTGGTCTCCATTAAGTGTTCTATTTATATAGGCAAATCTATTGATTTTCTTTTTAACTATTTTCATCATTGCATTTAGTTAAGTTTTAACAATATAAATTAAATCAATTAGTTTCTAATCCAATTGTAATGATATAATCATTACATTGAAAAAAAATCTCAATATATCCTTATCTTTTAGAATCCGCGCAGCATTCAGAGGTTCTTTTTGATGTATTATACCAATATTTATTATATATTATTTAATATATATATATATATATTCATCTAATATTTATTTTTTATTATTATTTTTTTATTTTTTATTTTTTATTACTATTAAATTATTTTAATTATTTAATACTTTAATATATATTTGTTTTTTTATCATTTTTTTTTTTTGATAAATTATTTTATCATTCTTTACTAAGCAGGAATATAAACATAGAATACGAATATAATACTACATTAATATATTAATATATGGGGTATATTTTTTTACTGTTGCAGCAGAAAAACATACCCTCATCTATAAATATAAAAATTTCCATTAATAATTTTTTTAATTTTTAATTGGTGGTCTCCAAAAAATTTTGTTTAAGAAAAAAGAAATTCTCCTTGGAGAAACTTATACCCCTTAGGGGGCGTTTGGTACAGGAGAAATCTTTATTTGTCCGGGAATCTCAATTTTCAAAAATATGATTTTTACATTCAGTTTACCATAATATCTGGAAATTTAAAATTTAGAAAAATTCAGTTTCCCGGGAATCCGGCCAAATGCCGTGTACCAAACGCATGTAGATACCTGAATTTTAAATAACGGGATGTAATGTAGCTAAAATATTTATATATTTTTTATTATTTATTTGAGTACATGAATGATTCATCCCAAATAAATTGAGTAAAGATGATATTGATATATATATATATATATATATAATAATATAGATAACAATGTTGATAGAAAACAATATAGCTAAATATATTAATAAAATATAAAGATGATTACAATAATATAATACAAATCCTAAAGTATAATAAATATATATTTACAAGATAGCTTTAGTTATTGT